GTGTGCGTGTGTGTGTGACGCGGACATGAGAACGCGCCCACCACGTGGCACGCCAAGAACAGAGATAGAGGGGGACGTAGTAGGAGAGGAATAAGAAAGACGGAGGTAACAGGACCTGAGGAAGGGGTACCTCTTCAGATACCACGTGCATGCAAGTCGGGATGGGGATGAGAGGGCGGTGGGAAAAGGATTGAGTCGTGCCACGCGGCAGACACGTCAGCATCAGCAGACAGGTCAGCACTGGAGATCAGTGATGCTGGAAGAAAAAAGGTGGGCATGCCACCCGTACAAGGAACGTCGGGATCAGAGTAGAAGAGAAATGCGAAAAGAAGATTTATGATGAGCGTCATAGATCAATCTTCCATGTCTTCTTTTTCTATTGCTCCTTTTTTATTTGTACGATTTTTATTTCTTTTTCGGGTGTCGACAGGATGTGTTCGGTGCTTCAGACAGAAAAACATCAACATATCTGTACCTGAGTTCATAGGGGGGGGGGTGGGAGAGGTGAGGGAAGGGGAAGGCGGAAGGGGAAGGCGGAAGGCGAAGGCGGAAGGGGAGGGGGAGGCAAGGAATGGGGTGGGATGGAAAAGGAAAGGAAGCATGCCCATGATTACATATAAGCTGATTGAAAAACGAAGTTCAGCAAATTGAACATTGTAGCGGCCGTAATATCTTCCCCTTCTACATGATGTTCTTACCGCAGCATGTCTATGCTTTCATTTTTAACGTGCCCCACAGAGAACGAGACAGAGAGCTCCTTACCCCATGTATCAAATGTGACGTGGTGCCGTCGCCTTCTCCCCCTAATTTTATAGCTGCATCTCCCGCAATTTTCATCACTCCAGATACAGTTAGCCTCAATCCCGGTGGTTCTCTTACCACCACCAGGATAGAGGCCTTGCACATGGGCCTTTAAAAAAAAAAAAAAAAAAAAAAAAGACCCTTTGCTCCATCTCAGAGGAAGACGCGACTGCGCCACATCACATTTGAACGTGGTGCAACAATCTCTCTCTCTCTCTCTCTCTCTCTCTCTCTCTCTCTCTCTCTCTCACACACACACACACACACACACACACACACACACACGCGCGCGCGCGCGCGCGCGCGCCCGCAAATAAGCAGCTCCTGTGGGCTGCTCAACCCACGATAGGTCTGGAGTGAGCTCCAAAAGGATAACAATTTAGGGTGGAGTGACGTCGAGAGGAGCGAAGATAAAGAAGGAAGAAGGCAGAGATGGAAATTTAAGGAGGGAGGCGGGAATACTCAAGGCGGGTGGAGGTCGCGATGGGAAGAGAGGAATGGGAAAAGCAGGCCCAAGGGGATATCCTGGAGAGTATGTCGAGTGCTAAGGAAAGATTGGAGGTGGGTAATTTTTGTTCTGTGTTTCCTTCTTACAGTATTTATCGGGCCTCGCCACACCACTCTCGAAACGTTAAAAAAAGAAAAGACAAAAATGTGGCGGGCGCATCTGGTCATGTTTCTAGCGGGAAGTTTTCATTTCATTTTGCGCATTTCGAGAGTGGTGTGGCGACACCCATTATTTCGGAACGAGCAGCGAAACTTGACATACTGTAAAAGGCTACGTGTCGGGTTCAACCCACGACGACTGTCTTCAAAAAATGACATCCAAAAGAATAGTGCGCAATCAAAAATAACAAAACGAAAAAGAGAAAAGACAGAAAAGAATAGCTTTTCTTTGGAAATGAAAATGTTAACTTGTTTAAAATAAAAAAGAAAAATAAAAATAAATAAAAAAAAGAAAAGAAAAGAATAGCATCCTATCAGGGCGATGAGAGAGGTGGCGACGAAGGGAGATGAAAAGGCAGAGCTCGAGTCTAGGAATGAGGGCTGGGGGGAGGGATGGTCATGGTCATGGCAGGGGAAGGTCGTCATGGGGACACAGGGATGAGAAAAGCAGACGGAGGAGGGATAAAGGGAGAGAATGTCGAGAGATAAGAGAGCGGAAGGGGGGAGGAGAGGGAGGAGGAGAGGGGGGAGGGGGTAGAGGGCGGCGGGAGAAAGAAAGATTGAAGGCGGGGGGGGGTCGATCTGAACATGGGGGAGAGGAAAATAACAAATGGAGGAGGAGGAAGAGGAGGAGCAGCAAGAGGAGGATAAATGAGGAGGACAGGAAGTCGAAGAGTTGCGGTTTTTTTTTTCTGTTTTTACTTCGTAAGAGTTGCGTTTTCTTTTTTCTAACTTGTGATTAAAATAAAAATAAAAAAATAAAAAAAACTTGTGATCTATTCTTTCTGGTTGCCAAGACGCGATCGGATGGGCAGCAGAGCTTGGCATAGGGCCTCGCTCCACTACACTACACTCTACATGCATTTGGACGCTTTCTGGACTAGGTGCGTTCGAACCAGCCCAACATTCAGAACGTATCGGGTCCAGAAAAGCGTCCAAATGCATGTAGAGTGTTGACTAGCGGAGTCGAGGCCCATAAGTTGCTCGTGTGGGCTCAACACATCAGGGTAGGGGGAGGTCGCGATGGGAAAGAGGGATGCGACAGGCAGGCGCAGACGAGTGAAGGGACAGGATTGGGAGGACTGGGGTGATGAGGTCTGAACATGGGCGGTAGGGGAAGATCACAAAACGAGGAGTAGGAGGAGGAGTAGGAGGAGGAGGAGGAGGAGATCACAGTCTACTTTTTCTTTATGGCAGAATATATAGATGCCATTGAGTGCCATGGACAAGTGCCTTCCTCTTGGATTTGCCTGAGGTTTAGGGATATGCCGCCATCCCTTCAGCCCTCAATCCACAGCTTCTGGTGCCGAAAGGCATATTCTCGGCGATTCCTATGCTGGCAGGAAAGGCGGGAAAAAAAAAAAAAAAAAAAGGAGAATATGGAGGAGGACAGGCTGTGGACGTCACTCTTACCAAAAGTGAGGACGACGTGTTCGTGTGCACCTCTCCTTAGCGAGGCGCTCTGCTAATCTCCCCTGCTCGAGTTCGGCGGTCTCTAGCGTGCAGGCCGGCGACCTACTTTACACTGCAGGTGTACAGACCGGCGATGAGCAAAAACAGCAAAATGGATATGAAAATGGATATGAAAGACTGTTTTGGAGACTTCAGTAAGGGAGAAGCAGCATTACTAAAGTGCACGTGCGCAAAATGCATACTTAGGGCCCAGCCCCACCGGCCAGTAGTGCTAAAATCTGATTACCACTAACGGGCCTACCGGTAGCTCAGTTGGTAATCCCATGAACTGTTGACATACAGAGCTGAGTTCGAATCCCGATGGACTCAGACTACCTTCTTCCCCCGAATACAGAGCGGAGTTCGAATCCCGATGGACTCAGACTACCTTCTTCCCCCGAATACAGAGCTGAGTTTGAATCCCGATGGACTCAGACCAAAATTAGGGGCCTGGCTGATTGGCTCCTAGACTATCTGCGGCCGCAATACCAGCATCTACCCATGACCTGGTGGGATGACGCATATGTGCACCTTTTCACCATGTTGGACAGCAGTGCAACGCTGAAACAGGCTTTGGAGCAAGGGCTGCCTCCGGACACCGACTGGCAGGTGACCCTACATCGGGTGTGGCATATTGTGCAAGAACAACTCATCTGCCCTCCCCAACAAAACAATCAGGAGCACCCCACCAACGGCCTAAAACAGCATTAAAAACAGGAGCAGGCAAAGATAGCATAAACCCGCACCAGAACGAATCCCCACCGAAGGCACCCCGGGAAGAAGGAAAGGAAAACCAGGAACTATCCCGCAGATCCAAACTGCGCCACCTAGTGGAAAGAGGATGCCACGAGGCGGCGTTGACAGAAAACAGTAAAGTCTCGGTACTTCCCCTCCGAAAAAAAGGGGACAGATGGGAATTGGGACTCTCCCTGACCGACCACAACGATTACACCCCCACTTTTGGGGGGGGGTCCCTCCACAGGTGGCGACAGGACGACCCCGGGGGATTTCGATTGAAAGAGGTCAAGAGCTCTGTGGCGGACCACCACGAGCCAGGGGCCACGGTCTCCCTAATTGCTTCAGGGGGCCCGAACAAGATAGCGGACTGGGATGTATTTGTGCTCTTCGAGGAACACAAAGAAGCGGGACTCACCTGGCTCAGTCACAACGCACTTTTAGAAATGCAGAGCCTAAAGGTGAAGTCGAGCCACATATGGTCGGGGGATGATCTAGTCACCTGCCTGTGCAAGATTGCCCGCAAGGACATACTCAATGGCAGAACAATCTGGGACCAGCAGCCCTGGCAAAGATTATTAAAAAAAATAAAATCCTCAACCCCTTCCACGCAGACAACAAACAAGGTAGACATCAACGAACCAGATGGATTGGGTGGAAGCGTTGTACGGCAGAAAACATGCCTGGAAAAGAACCCTACAAATGGCAGACCTGGACCTCAGATCCATCAACGTCAATGGTTTGGCATCCACCTGCCACGAAAAATCTCAAGCAATATGGGACCTTTTGCGAGGGGTGGGAGGAAGGTCGTGGCCGGATGTGGTGTGTGTCCAAGAAACACACTTAATCGACACACCTAACCACCACAGGGCACTTAAATTATTCTGGCCATACCAGTCATATCACGCACACTCCCCGGGACCTGGTCGGGCGGGGGTGGCAATATGGATCCCCCCTGACTCGAGGTTTGGAGGTTTGCCAATGGAAAACAGACAAGGAAGAGGGAAGGTGGGTATCCATATTGGGAATGTTAGAACTAGAACTGGTGCACATTGTGTGCATATACGCGCCTAATTCTCTTCAGGAATGCAAAGCCTTCTTAGAAAAAATCACAACCAAAACACATCTCGGTATCCCTTTAATCATGGCGGAAGACTTCAATGCACCCCCGAACAGGTGGCTTGATCGCTGGAAAGTCCCCCCATCTACAGTGGGGAACGCGGAAGAGGACGAAAGGATGATAAAGGAGGTATGCAACATCCTCTCACTCTTCGATTCCTTTAGATGCTTGTACCCCACACATCGTATTTTCTCTTGCATAAGAAATAATGACTCAAGTCGTTTATCTAAATCCCGTATAGACCTGATCCTACTAGCAGATTCACTTGAAGGGGCTTTGACCATGGCGGCCATCTTGCCATTAAGCCTTTATCCGGGACGGGACCATAAAATGTGCACCATAGCACTAACCTTTCGAAAGAGACCCGATCGAGGACCAGGCTACTACAAACTGAACACATCTCTGTTGCATTTAAAATCCTTCCAACAATACCTCCAACACACCAGGGATTTTTTGAAGGAACAACGACGTAAACTAGACAGTCACATCACATGATTCAATAACAGTCTAAACTTCCTCGCAAAGAAAAGCAACGAGTTCGCCAAACACTGCGACGCAAAGGAATCAACAAGAAATTGCAACAATTATTCAATTATTAGAACTCGAACAGCAGAAATCGTCGCACGCACAGGAGCCCTCTGATCAGGGGGGGATCACAAACACCCAAAACCTAAAAGACCAATTGTTGCAACAAGCCCAATACCGCTGGCAAGGCGCGAGGATCCGAGCTAAACTCTCCAAGCACAAAACAAAAGGAGCAATGGACACATATTTTTTTGGCATTGCACAGGTACACGTGAAGCGTAACACCATCAAAGCCTTATATGACCCCGAGGCCGACGAGGCATCGCCCGCTTGACAACTGCAAGGTGTATGAAAATAGCCCGCGACTTCTACAAGGATCTATTCGCCTCGCACATCCCAGCCACAGTAGATGAGACTCGCCATCAATTGATAGACAATTTTCTAGCCCCTCTGGATAGGTCCCTCTCTCAGGTGAGAAAAAATTGTCTCGATGCCGCCCTATCCAAACAAGAGATCAAGATAAACCTCATGCAAATGGAGGAAGACAAAACGCCTGGAATAGACTTCCCTAAAGAGTTTTGGTAAACAATGTGGGGCTCCCTGAATCAAGACCTTATGGACTTCTACATTGACGTATGGGATTCTGGGGACATGGGGGAGATGGTGGGCAAGGGTGTGCTACATTACTCTACAAAACGAGCGACAAAATAAATATACGCAACTATAGACCTATTGTGTTACTCACGGTAACGTACAAACTGATGGCTAAGGCGCTAGCTAACGGGATGATCCCAACCATGGAACATATTATTCACCCCTCGTAGACAGACTTCACGCAAAATAGGAATATCCAGGAAAACATATTACTGGTACACGAGGTCCTCCAACTGACCAGATACTCGAACCAAAACGCTGCACTGGTGTTCATAGATTTTGAGAAGGCATATGATCACGTAGATTGGGTCTTTCTGAACAGTTGCCTTCAGAAAATGAACTTCGGGTCAGTTTTCAAACGATGGATACGTATCTTTCACCAAAATGTCACCACAAGCGTCCATATCAATGCTTCACTGACCCGATAACTCCTTTCTTGTTCTTAATCATTATGGAAGCTCTGTCCGCAAACCTTCGCACAAACAAGGATATTTCTAGAATTAAAATATCCCATATCCCAGAGGAGGCGGTTCCAATTTGCTCTTTGTTTGCAGATGACCTCACCATAATGGTGGATGCCACGACAAGGAATATGGAAGAAATCCAATGCATGATGGAAAGGTTCTCCCAGGTATCAGACATGATGGTTAATTGGGGGAGTAAGACACAAGGGTGGTGGATCCACTCCCAAGGCGGGCGCCCCCCCGCGACCCCCCGCATCTCATGGCGACCCTTGGAGGCTCCGCTTAGAATCCAAGGGGTCTCGATGACAGCAGCAGGCTGCCTGCCTACAAATGACGAGTGGATCAGGGCCCCGACCCTGACCAAACTAGCTAATTGGGGGAAAAAGTCCACCTCCCTTTTAGATAGGGCGTTGATGATAAACAACGTAGTATTCGCGTCACTATGGTATAAATCCCTGGTCTGGCCCTTAAGCAAACAAGTTGTGTGGGCTTTAAAGGCCAAAGTGGCGGCCTTTTTATGGTGAGGAAATGATGATCTGCAAAATGTCATCAGCAGGGTGGCCCGGGAATCAGTCATTCAACCCAAAAGCGCAGGAGGTATAGGAATAATAGACCCAACAACATAGGTCCAAGCCCTTCGGCTTCAATGGATTATAAAACCGATCTTTGTCACAAACTGCCCCTGACAACCCTTGGTGCTAGAACACTTGGCACGTCTAGCTCCTACTGCTCCCCCCGAAGTACATTCCTGACGTGGCTAGAAGATCGCTATTGGACAATCCCATGGAAATAGTCGGACGGAGGGGGAAGCCCTGGTGGGGCTATGGATTAATTTTGGCCCTCGTTGTTGAGAAGCTGAAGGCGACTCCCTCCCCCGGAACGGCAGCACCCTGAACGGTGGGAGGAAGTTTTCCAACAACCTCTTTTCGGTAACCGCTAGCTCACGAACAGGCAGGGCCAAGTGATGAACAGATCAGCACGACCGTGGAAGGGATGGGTAAAACGGGGAGTGATTAGAGTAGGAGATATATGGAATAAGGGACGAAAGGACTAGAAGACAGCAGAGGAACTACGCCCGGTGCTAAAACACTGCCACAACGTTGCACATAACTTAGACAAACTTATAGAAAGGATACCGCTCTCGTGGTACAGGAAAGGCCCTACGCTAAAGGAAGGGGACTGGGTCGGAATCAAAGGAGACCTTGAACACCTAGGGAAAGTCCATTTGATAAGGACCCAGGATGCCCTGGTGGAAAGGTATGTACTCAGTCAATCCCGGTCGCTAATGGGCAGTCGGGACCCCCTCATATGGATGGATACGACAAAAGTATTCTGGGTGCGGCTCTTGGGCAAGGGAGACAAGGCCCGGGCCTTTCAGCCGGCTACTGGGATACACGAACTACCCTTTGACCCAGAGGAATAAAAACGGAAACTCGGGGAAAGGGAAACAGGGCCTAAGAAGAAGATTTGCCGGCATAAACTAACTGTCAAATCCACCTATAAAATGCTCAGACCCAAGAGGCCAATGAGAGACGTGA